CAAATTTGGGTCTTCAATCTTACTGATTAAGTCAATAAGAATATGTTCTTCCTCATTCTGTTTGGTGATTACCCTAACAGTTTTACAGAGGCAGCTATCTTTGCAACCTAATTTGACTTTAGGTTCACTAGGGTTGCTAGATGCTGAATGATATTTGAAGAACTTTCAGAGCTGCTTGAGTCATCTAAACTCTTTCATTGCTGGGAAGATTATTTAACCTAAAAATGTTGAGAATTTTCTCTTTATCTTCTTGGGTTAAATTTAATCTTTTAACTGGGCAGTCTGGGCTTTTATGGCCTTTTTTACCACAGTTATAGCATTTAATGTCTGAATTTGTTTTAGCTTTTTTCCCAGATTTTTTCTTATAAGTTTTATTCTTATAAGTTTTTCTGGGTTTTTTGCTAGATTCAGCATAGTAAGTAGGTTTACTAAAAGTCTTTTTACTACGTTTGTAGTGGCTTTTAGATTTACTATAAGGCTTTTGTGATTTGGTGTTTCTGCGTGATGGTGCTACTGATGGAAAATCATATTGTTTACAGAAATTATTTATTTCATATTTAGCATTTTTCGTATCATTTTTTAATTGATGTTGGATCTTCATGTCAATACACATCTTAAGACCTTCATTTTGGATGATACTAACAAGATCATCGTAGGTCAATAAATCATATTCAATGATTCCACTGTCTTTACTAAGTGCTTCCCTAATCTTATAGGCAAAGAGATTAGGTAGGTCATTGACAAATTTTCTTTCCAGAAAGATTTATCACAGTCTGGCCTAAGCATAACTCTAGAGATGAATACATCTTTGTACCATCTGAAATCACGAAGTGTTGGGCACCTAAGGTTATTAAGCTGGTCATGGACTCTAGCTTCTATGTTACTGGGTGTGCCAACAAAATGTTTGATTATGGTGAAGATAAGGGTGTTAATTCCATCATCTTTAGCTCGATCAATTCTTTCATTAAAAACTGGTATGCCTTCATCATCAAGAACAACAGCATGCTTGATGCCATCTCTTGATTCTTGTGTGAGGTAATTAGTCCACCAATTACTTAATACTCCTGTAAAACCAAAGGTGATCATGTCAACTAGTTTTGGTTCTGAGAGATCAAGATTTGAAATGTAACTTGGCTACCATGGAAAGATGACTAATTTTGTTAAGTATTTCCTGTTCACTTAATCCATCTATATTTCATTCATAGAGTTTATTAGATTAAACAGAAAACTGATTACTAATGTTTTTTTTTCAAATTGAAGATCTGGTGGTATTGGTCTAGTATACCAATTTTTTGTACTGCTGGTTGGATTAACTTTTGAAAAAGTTAATTTGTTAAGTTTGAGGTTATCAAACTATTCTTCTAATTTTTCAATTTCAGAGTCAGGCGAGCTTTCTGAGCTACTAGTTTCTGAATTATCAGAAATCTGGTTGATAACTGTTACTTGAGATGGTCCAGATTTTGATTCTGTTTTAGAGATAAGTTCTTCAATCTTTTGGATTGTTTGTTTATTTTTTAAACCTAATTCGGATCTATCTTCAGGTAGATGAATTAGAGGTTTCTCTAACTTTTTATTGGATGGCTTGATTTCATTGATTTTAGATTCAATTTTATCAAGTTGTTTCCCAATAATTATTACACTTTGGTTAGTGAAATTATTTTGTTCAATCATCTTTGTGTCAGATTCATTAGTAGGTTTCTTAAAAGGAGAAACCTTTACTTCTGAATGTCGATGATCAATTAAAATAATTTCTGCTGGAGGATGATTAGATGTTTTTATAGAATTATCTAGTGTTTTCCATATATGTTTTGTTACTACTTTTACTTCTGGATGATGGGATTCTAGGTAGTCAAAGAATATAATTTCTGATTCTATTTTATACATTACTTTTACGTATTGTGCCATCATTCCTTTATGTTGAATATTAGTGAATCTCTTAAAGTATTTCTGTTTTTTAGATTCATTTTCAACAGAATTAAAGTCTTTTTTTAGTTTAATCATGTTAGGTAAGAATAATCCATTTCCTTTCCTAATCACGAGTAACTGGTGATCTACCGAAGTAGTGCTCTGGAGGTCACTGGCTGTAGGTGAAGGGGTGAAGTCATCTTCTTCTTCTTTATTCCTACGACTAGATTGTGGAACACTCTGATGTGGAGTGTAGCACGGTCTACTAATTTGTAATGTGGAATTATCGATTCCTTTTAACTTAAATTTTCTTTCTATTTCTTCTGTTAATTCTTTATCTCTTTTGGAGATGCTAGAATAAACATCAGATTTTCTTCCTTCAATAATCTGAATAGGTTTATTAAATGATCTGCTTGATCTATTGGATCTTGCAAAATCAAAGGAGATTCTTACTAATCCATCAGATAACTGTTGGATGTTTTCTACGTTAGTGGCATTATTTTCACTATCCTTGTTATAATTTTCATTTTCAACTGTCCAAGATTCTGGAAGTTGAACATTCTTCCATTCAAGTCTTTTGGGGACTTGGATGTTAGAATCACTAGTACTGGCTTGGATGAGCTCTATTTTATCTTTAGGATGTTTTTTAAGTGCATGTACATTCAGGTTTGTAGTTATGCATTTATAGTATATCCTATAGATAAGTACTAGGGATTGAGTCTCTTTTACCAGTTTGGTAATTTGACCTGACAATTTTATACCTAAGGTTAAAGCCAAAGGTGTATTTTTGCAACTAAGGCTAAGGGTAAAGTCTGAAAAGCAGTTAAAATAAACTAGTCCGTTATGAAGACCAGTCTCCATTATTCCTAAAATGCTAGGTTCATATTCTGTGAATCTGGCATCTTTTAGGGTTAATAGAGCTGCTGCATCTTTACCTAATGACATTAATGGTTTAATTGCTACTTGAACTAAACCAAGGTGAATAAAGTTAAAACCTTTTTCCTTATGTTTTCGTAGGGTTTTTTTACTAATTAATTGACAAGTTTCTTCCTCTTCACTGAGAGCATAAACTTGTTCAATTGTTTTTACTTGAAGTTCTGAGTTGAATGCTTTTGGAACCCAACTCGTTTTATAGATATTTCAATGGGATACCTTTGGGATATTCCATTCACTCCAATCTACTTGTGACTCTTGGTGTTCTTCTTCTTCCTCATTTACTATATTAGGTATAGTACTAAATGAAGAACTAAATGAGCTAACCATAGAGTTAAATCTGAATAATCTACTCACTATTAAATCTAATTTTTCAATTATGTAAATCAATGTTTAAGCTTGACTCAATTGTACATACCCCTTAACATACATGCTCTCATGATATGTCTCTGTTTCCCTAAACTGCCTACACTCGAGGACTTACAAACGGGACAAGAATGAGACTCTCCCTCTTGAGCTGACAAAGGCTAGGTGACAAGGGTAGACCAAACTAAACAATGATTTATTAAATTAAAATAGAAGAGATTTAACACAAGTAAGATAATTCCAAATGTAACTGTATGGGCAACTATCTAGGCCGTCAAATGGCTCTGATACCAAATAATAAAAACAAGTGCAGAATAGTAACAGACATGATTTAGAAGAATCACAAATTGTAGATATAAGAGTGGAAATTTAAAAATTCTTTAAATCTTGTTTATAGGAACAAGATACAAATTACAATAAAAAATAAATACTTACAACACTAGCGCTAGTGGGCTAGTGGATGTAATGGGATAGCAGTGAGAGGCTTTTCATTTACATTATTATGAAGGTTTCTTACCATTTGGGGATAGTGTATAGGAATAATGAGCTTTATGTATGTATGTATGTATATACTTGTTGTTAAATCTCTTATCTAAATTTTGAATTATTTTTTAATGCACCTTGATTTATGCATTTTTTTTTAGAAAGTGGTTTTATTTTTAAATTAATTAAATATCCGAACAGTGTAACAATGTAATAATAAAAGTGTAACACTAACAATGTAACATTATAACAATAATAGTGTAATAAGCTATTTACACAAAAATATTATACTATTACATTTTGTCAAACATATAATTTCATTCAAAATAGTTCATCTTCGTTTTGAATTTGTTACCATATATACAAAACTACTGAACACTGTTTTTGTTACAGTGTCTTTGTTACACTGTTATTATTATACAATTACATTATTTGGATATTAAATTAATTTAAAAATAAAAATATTTTTCAAAAAAAAACCCTTGAATCAAGGTGCATTAAATATAATTTTAAAACAAAATCACTTTTCAAAAAAAAAAACGCATGAATCAAGGTGCATTAAAGATAATTCAAATTTAAATAAGAGATTTAACAACAAATATATATATGTGTGTGTGTGTGTGTGTGTGTGTATAAATAAGTATATATATTTTTGTATATATATATATATATATATATATATTAATAAATACATATGAATCAAAGTACATTAAATACGTATTTATATGTATTAACAAACACACATGAATCTAAGTGCATTAAAAATAAGAGATTTTTAATTAAATGATCCTAAAATGGACATTTATTTCTTTTTAACTCACATTTTATTTTGTGTACTTTTTGTCAAATAAATTTAATTAGGTGTACCGACTTCCAAATAACCCATATTAGCCCATTAGAAATCGGCCCAATGGATAATCTACAAAAGTTCCGTTATGACAGATCTAACAAACATGCTTGGGCTATATCTTTTTGGGGATACGAGCCAGGCCCGAACTGGACCGTGATCCAACCCTATGTATCTGTCGTCGGGCCGTGTAAGCCTGTCTCCATCCGTTGCTGACTCCATAGGCGTACATTATTCAAACATCTCTCTTCGAAAAAACCAAAATAAGGAATTTATAATTTATAATATAAAATAAATAAATTTTAATAAATTTATTTAGCGGAAATAAATTCAACCATCACTAGCCTCCCTCCTAAAAACAATCACATTTAACACTAATTACCAAGAATCATATGGTACTCATGGCCTCGCTACAACGCAAGAATCATATGCGCTCCGCTTAATTCTTTTCTCTGTCTCTCTCTCGATGTTCAAGCTTTCAACACTCTCCCTCCAAGAACCTCTCTCTTTGAGCCGAGCTCTACATATTCCCGCGCGTTTTACCTCGTCGTCACTGTTCGACCGCGGTGTTTCTCGCCGAATTCCGATTCAGAGAATGTCGTGCTCGATTGAAACTGCGCTTCCTCCTTCGCTGCGAACGGTTTTCATTTCGTATACGCAACTTCAGGTGAGTTTCTCCAATGGTCCGTTTGGTGGCTGAGAAATTAGGAGTTTTCGTGCGCAGAAACTCGAAGTGTGTCGTTTGATTTTCTCACGGGTTTTCAGTGACCAAACGGAGTATGACTCAGTTGCTTCGTGTTTAACTGTCCGTGTGGTGATCACGGCGTGTTCTCTGTGTATGTGTGTGTGTGCGCGCGCGCCCGCGCGATCCATGTACGTTTGACGCTTGAATTTATATAGCTGCTTTCCTACATATGCTTTAGAAATTTGAATGATGAACTCCGTTTGTAGGTGTTGTGCGCATGTTAGTGTGTGTACGTGGATGTGTGTTATTGTGGACTTTTAGATTCGTTGCTTGAATTATTGAACTCTTTTTATATCATTATGCGTTTTCAATCGAATATTTTGAATGAGTGAGTGAGTATGTGAATTTTGACATTTCGAGCTTGAATACCTCTCTTCCTCTGTGTTTGCGTGTGTGAGAGAGACTTTTGACATTTGAAGCTGGTATCATAATTTTTGATATTTGGACCTTTTCTTTTATGGATTCGTGCATTCTAAATTTCGTTTATAACCTCTCTGTATGTTTTTTTTTCCCTTCACTTTTGGAGCTTGAAATATAGAATTATACTTATATATCCTTGTATTTTCAGTTTGAATGATGACCTCTATGTATATATCCGTCTTTTTTATGTGATACTGCTCTTGCTTGTGTCTATGATACTGACGTTTGGCTTTGGTGGAATTGATTGAAGGATAAGAGTGCTGATTTGTCAGCAGAAATTGAAGAAGGTTTTGGGCCAAATGGTTTGGGTATCCTGTCAGTATCAGATGTATGAAACAAATCTATTTATCAATTATATGTTTAATTGTCATCATGCTAGTTTTTATTTATCTTTTGATTTCATTGTTGGTCAAATATGTTTTCCACGTACTAGTATAATGACAATTATAGCTGTTCTCCATAAGAGGTCCGGTCCATGATTTTTTATTTTGTTTTTTTGAAAAAATGGGCAGCCTGTTAGAATGCATATTGTATGGTGCCTGTTTGATGCATTTCTATGCAAGCTTTCTTTTCAGGAAAGAAAAAAAAGTGAATGCGGAGATGAGCTTGACCTGTGTATTTATGAAAAAAGAAGAAATGCAATTGAATAAGAGAAAAAAACAAACAAAGAGATTGGGAAAATGTGTGCTAGAAAAAAAAAAAAAAGAACGAGTTAGATAATTGGAAAGCAAATATTCAACATCCAATTAGGTGGACTCCTGTTAACCCAAACTTGAGCAACATCAGGGTTTTTTTGGGACATTGGGACCTGTGTTGGACAGTTAAGGTATCATAACCATTATTGTGTCCTTTATATCAAGTTAGCAAAGTGATTTTCTGCGGATTTCAGGCAATTTACCCCAGATTGTGGCTCTTGATTCTTGTTTGGGTAACTGTATTGGAGTTTTAGATCAACTTATTAGCTATCAATATTATGGACAATGGTGCTTATAAGCTGCTTTGTAATTTCTAGTGTTTTGTTTTTGCCACGTCTCATTGCTGACAAAGTACTAGCTGAATTACATCTTGTGTTCTCATTGGTCATGATGACAGTTTTGGACTATCAGCAATATTCATGTTTGGATAATAGGATCTGCAATATCCATGGGATTGCACTGTGGGTTCATCTTTCCATCAGAAATGTCACAAAGCATATCTTTTTTAGTTTTCCCATTTTCTTTTTATACACTTAAAGCTAGACTTTTATTTTACTTTTATTATACTGCAACTAATATTTGCTTTAACTTCTACGCCATAGTAGCTGGTAACCTTCATTTAATTTTAATTAGTTAATAGTGTCCTCTTGTTTTCCTACTTGAGATGGACTTTTGGATTATTATAGGTTCCTGGGTATTCTACACTGCGTCGAAATCTTCTGCAACTTTCACCTAGGTATAAGCTTCGCAGAGATATTTGCGTTTTTATTTTGAATGCACGTAGATTTAGAGAGATAAGGAGAAAGTGCTTTTATTACACTCCTTGTTACTAGCTATTTGTCTTCAATCAGATTAGCCGGCCTTCCTGAAGGAGTGAAGAAGGAACTAGAAGACCCTCATAGCAGGTAATGTAGCTGACCCTGAACTTACTACTTCTCACTGATACATGGTAAATGAATATTTTAATGTTATCATTAGCATTTGGAAACAATGATCCCCATCCTTCTGCAATTTTTCAAAAGCTCAGTGCAAGTTTATAAACCCTGCGGTTTCTGGGAGTATTTCCCCTCCTATACTATGATTAATGGAGATATATTATTACTTTTGGGACAAAAATGTAGGTACAATTTTGGGTGGAGTCATGGCAAAGAGAAACTTGAATCTGGAAAACCAGGTAAATATTGTCCCACGGCATAGTTTGTGGATTCCCTGATCAATATATGATTTAACAAAAGGTAGTTGTCAACTTCTTGTACGCACCTGAATGCATGTTAGATGGTCCATTAGGATATAAGAAATCTAAATGAGATTTTGGAGCTATGGTGGATATAGGGGTGCATATGAGTATGTGTATGTTTGTGTTGGTTTAGTTAATTCTACAATTATATCTCATGTTTCTCTGCCTGTTGAGTACTGTTTGACTGTCCTTGTGCAGATATGTTGAAAGGATCCTTCTATGCAAATCCAATATTAGATGTACCTACGACTGAGGCGTCCCTTATTCAACAGTAAGAAGATCTATGGATATCTATATTTTGGATTTATCCTAGATGTTTCAGTTTTAAGGTATTGCAAACCTATTGGATGTGGCCAGGCAATCTGTTTGCTAAGGATTATGGGACTTTACCGTTAAATATCCTTTCTAAGTTCTGGATTTCTTTCATATGATAATTAGCTATGACAATGCACCTGTTAAACATTCCACCAATCAACTCCAAAATATGCTTTTTCGGATTTTGAGAAAGTAGACAGAGCTTCACTTAAACCTATTTGCACTTTCAGAGCTGGTATACCCAATCATAGTTATAGGAACTGTTGAACTTTTCTGATGGTGCTTTGTCTTTGAAGGTACCCTTCGTACTGTGGACAAAATATATGGCCTCATAGTGCTTTGCCCGAACTTGAAGTGGGTATGTTCACATATTTCTTATTTTATTCATTTTGTATTTTTTCTATGGATGCCATTGCTTTATTTAATTGTTTCCATGTATGATGTTTGCTTCATGCTTTGTCGTTGTAGTATAGTGGTGAGTAATATATATATATATATATATATATTTGCAGCTTCTCTGGAATTTTTGAACAGAAGTCTTGCAAGCTCTGGTATTGATTAGTGACCGTACAAGTCAAGCTTTAGACGTGATTTCTTAAGTGTCTGTGATGATGAAAATACAACCATTTGGCATATTGAAATTTTAGATGTTCCCATCATTATTTGAGAATCTGCCGGCCGATTGTTCCTTTTGAAAGTTTTATTGTCAAATTATTTTAGATGTGTTGCTTTTGGCCATTCAAAAGCAACATACTAAATGAAAATGACTTTGCATGGCTTATAGCCATGCTTTACCCAGTTGGGCTGGGAAGTGAAACCTTTCTATGATACATTAGAAAGTCTATACATGTGTACATCTGATGCTAGTTTTCTGCTTCATTGTTTTACTCTTTTGGCAATGCAATATTTACACTTGCTTCTGTTCTAGTGCATCATCACAGATTGAGGAAATCATCAAATAATGGGGAAAATGTTTTGTTTCTATATAACTTTATCGTTTTCTTGTTCTTAAAATTTATGGTTACTCAATTATCTATTCTCCTATGCAGCTTTTAAGGCCCTTGGCAAGCTTGTTCTGGATGTTGGGTTGATGTTGGCTTATCACTGCGATCAATTTGGTAAGTTATTCTTGTATAGGTTTTTAATTTTTGCCATGTCCGTGAAATGAATTGTTTATTTTTTGGCCTCATGGTCTTGACATGTGAGTTAAAAGTTAGCATTCCGTTTAGTCCACAATAATAGGGATCTGGGAGGGGTAAACTGAACATAGACATAGCCTTGGTGTAGTTATAGCTGAGCAGGTGTGGGCTTTTGAAATTATTCTGCATAGGACCCTGGCAACCTTTGCAATCCCAAATATCAGGCCATCTTTGGCTCAAGCGTATAAGCATTAATAGGATTAAACCAAACACGTACAACTTGTCCAATGTATCCTCTTTGGTGCCTTTATTTCTTCATTTTGGGCTTCACTTTCTGCTAACTATAGGACATGTTTGTATTTACTTAAATCGTGAGGCTATGCATGAAATCTGATTTATTTAGTTTCTGATACGGACTTGAGTAGTGTCTAAGGGCATGAAAATGCGCGAGGATGAAGGCCTTCAACAGATACTTCTTCGCTCTCGATGTCATAAAGGCCGTCTGCTTTATTATTTTCCTGCACAACAGAGGTAATTTTTTACTTATATCACAAGAATTCCGTAGCTGAATAACTGTTAATCAGCACATCCTAATTCTTACCTGAGTCATCATGATCCATAAGAGCTTATGAATGCATTTATCTGATATGGTGCCACATTGCATGTATTCTTTTTCTATTCCCTTTTTTTGGGGGTTATGTATCTCGTTTGCATAATGCTTGGTCATATAAGATCAAGGGATTCACATGGTTGATTGATTGTTAAGTGCACTATTACCTTTGCCTAAGAACTATATTCAATTTTTGTACATTGTCATCACAAATCCTAGCCATTTTTTTTTTTGTATATATTCATCAGATTTTGAGATGCATAAATTATGAGTAATGAACTATGGAAGATGCTTAGGCTTCACGATGGTTGGCTAGCCATTTCAGCTTTGACTGTCAGCTTGGTGAACCACCCTTCGACAGAAGGCAATCCCAATCTTTCAACCCAGGCACTGTGGATGCCATTCTATATTTGATTCTTTTTTCCTCCAAGAGATGATACATGCATTTTTGCAACCATTGTGACACCATTGACAAAATACTAGTTTTTCCATCAAATCACTGTCTGCCCATCTGAAGGACAGTGAAATGATAAAAGTTATGCAACTAGTGTGGTGTCAAGTGGCGTGAGTTAACAGTGTCAGCAACTGAACAAGTTTGCTGCCGAGTAGCCTGAATGGTGACTTGCAGCGACTTGACTAGTAATTTGCTGCCAGTTACAGGAGTGTGCTACCAATAACTTTCTTGGATACTGCTATTTTTTGGGATGCAAAATGATCTCCATTTTCCAGATTTAACTATGATGCAAAATTAATGTAATTAAACAACCTAAAACTACCACACAATGGGGAAATAATTTTTTTTAATGGAATGAGTTCAAAGCTTTACATTTTTGTTTTTAAAAGAAAGTTGGCTTTTCTAACCGGGCAATTCTTTTTGCATCATTCCGCCTCCTGTCAACTGTCCTATGTCTGTCCTTTTGCTCTCCTCCATTGATTCAGTTAGCACAATGCTATTTTTGTTCTTAGTTAGGTACTGATGTGTCAAGCCACAACTTACTTCCAAAAGTCCAATTTCCTTAGTATAGGTCTACATGCTTGTACTGGCAGCTTATGGTTGAAAACAGCTTTGGTAAACTTGACTTTACTATGTTTTAAAAAAGTTTATGAGTGATATTTTTTCTCTGAGAAAGGGATGTCAGATATTGGAGGTACACTGACTTGCATCTCCATGGATGAATCGATACCACTGTAGTTTCTTCTAACACATCTTTAGCAAATCTGACAACATTTAAGTCTTTTGTGGCACCAAGGGACAGCTCATGACTAATGCACCTTGTCTCTTTTTGTGCGTGCAAGATCCTGCACAATATAAAAAACGAGAACAGATCTCTCCCTTGGTGAACTCGAGTGAGCCAGTTGAGTGACCAACCACGCTGCTTGGAACAGCCTGCGAGGTCCGGTGGTAACCTGGAACGGTAACGGGAGACCCTGGGGGAGCGGAAGAACGATCCAGTAAGGCTGAAAGAGGTCCCTGGAACAAAGAAGAACAAGTTAGAAGGGCGCCGGAGTGTTTTCCGGCGAATCCCCTCCGACGATCTAGTCAGTCTTTGAGAAAGAGAGAGAAAGGAGAAAACACTGAGTGTGTATTGTAGTAAAGAGTTTTTTTGTTGCATACCCGTCTTGCCTTTTGCAAGGAGTATTTATACCTCAAAAGCTCATGATTGCTGTCAGTGTAGTCAGTAGGTGATCATTAGGTACAGGCAGTGTGCGCACTGATTCTGATGAGGAATGTCTTCTCTTCTTAACTGCTCGGGGTCCTAAGCAATCAATGCTGTATCATCGGGATGCCGACGATACAATGTACTCCTCTCGGGGAGGATGCAATAAATGCTCTGTATCAGGAGCATTTATTGCCTTTCATTTCCGAGCCTTACCGCATTGAATGCAGTCTCATCAAGGGAATGGTGTAATTAATCATTTGCTTTCCCAAGTCGCGTGTCAGCAACGGCATGTGGTTTCTCTGTCTTCGATGTGATATCATACGCTACGCGTCCATCCCCTATTGGCTGTGACCCCTGCATTCCAGTACGTTCTGACACTAATTGTGTAAGACGAGGTCATGATGAATAGCCTAGACTAGCCTAGGCTAATGACCTGTACGTCAATAGCTTATCCTGGAGTAGAGGAAGCGTCCAGGACGGGGTACCTCTTGGCACCGAGGAAAGGCTCATCTCGGAACCGAGGGAGGTATACCGACCGAGGTACCATATCAGACCGAGGCTACGTGTTGGTTGTAACTCGTACTGAATGCCATAATCCTATATGACGAGTACCTCGGGGGCGAGGACCTTTATGCGCCGATGGTGCTTGATCTTAGCAATAGTGTTTTGGTAAATACCGAGGACACGTGTCTTCATCATGGAGTATTTCAGAAAAGTCCCATCAACTGCCCCCCAGCCTTCGATCTTCTGACACCGAGGGCACGCGTCGTAAGGAGACGAAGGGTTTCCCAACAACCACAAATGCTTCATCATTGCCTCGAGCCGCTTTCCCCGGCTTGGGATGTCGTGTGCATTAAATGCGCCGTTTCGTTTTTCGCTCCCAATGATGAAATTGCCACTATATAAATGGGGCTCCTCTTCCATTTTCTTGTTTCGCCATTCCGAACTTCCTCAAGAGAGCCTTTTCTTGAATCTTCGCCGGAGATCTCTTTCCTCCCTCATCGTCAACTGTCCATTTTTCCTTAAAGTCTTAAGGTCAGCAGACCCATCGTTGCTTCTGAACTTTCTGGAAGGAGTCGCTTTAAAGTTTTCCAGAAAAAACTCCGTTTGACATTCGGGTGAGTTCTAGTATCTTTCCTCTTTTCTTCCTCCTATCCCTTTTTGTTTTCCGATGACTGGAGGTGTCTCCAGTTGATACATAGCGACTAATCCTCGGTAAGCTTCCTCACGGATTTTTAAGGAAAAACACCCTCCACTTTCTCACTTTCTTAGAGATGCCTCGTCGTCGCCCTGCTCCCGAGAATCCTCAGGCTGGTTCTTCGGGGTCGGGGAAGTATAAAGTAAAGGGTGGTGAGCAGATTAATAGGTTTAAGGTCAAGTACGACATTCCCCCGTGCGTAGACATAGAGGATTATGACCCGGTGGTGCACTCTCCTACCCTCGGGGCCGAGGATGCTATGCCCTTTTATACCAAGGCCATAATAGAGGGAGGAATTAGGTTTCCTTTACCCCCTTTACTTCTTCAGTTCCTCTCTCACTTCCGCCTCTTCCCCGGGCAGTGTTGCCTTAATGTCTTCAGAATAATTATGGGGGTCTTAGAGCTCAATAGGCGTCTCGGGGTAAATATTGGGCTCAACGATCTCCTTTTTTGTTATTCCCTCCTGAGAGTCATGCCTCACCAACACTTCTACCTCAAAGCCAGGGACCCCTCCATGTACCTTGTAACTCATCTTCCCGACTCGGACAAGGGGTACAAGGACGATATTCTTATTTTCAAGGGATCTTGGCAGAGAGGTGTTGGTCCCGAGTATAACGCTTGTTATGCCCTCTGGAATGGAGAACGACAAGTACGTCGGTTCCTTCGGGTTTATTATTTCGTTCTCCAGATTTCCCATGTTCATGACTACTTTTTTGTTTGTGCAGATATTCCTGCTCGGGAAACAGCTCCTCCCCCTCGGTCGCTGGTGAACTTTGCCGACCTAGTCACGGTTTGGAGATTTACTGGTGACAACGGGTTCGGCCGGGCTGCCCACATCCTGCTGAATTACACCCCCGGGTATAAGAAATTTTCACAGCTTCCTCAGCCTTTTGAGCCTTCGCGGTGGTCTGAACTCTTCGATCAGGCGGCGAGGCAGAGGTCGAGGAAAACTTGGAGGAAGACCCTGATCGGGCTTCGGAGGCAGAGGTAGAGGGAGTAGTTGAAGAGCTCGGGGTCAGAGAGGACGTTGTTCCTTCGGACGCCGAGGTGGGGACTTCGGGAGGAGACTTGTGGCCAGACTTCCAAGTCCTACAATCTCTAGACTCCGAGGACGCCCTCGAGGTCGCGATGTCCAGCACGCCTCGTATTGACCTGGGGTTCCTGAGGCAGAGGCAAGCTCTTGCTGCCGGGAGGGGTCGAGGATCGACCGGCGGCGCCCCATCTGCAGGGACCAGTTCCACCCCATCCTCAAGAGTTCTCAGTCGGGGTCAAGTGCGTGACCGGGATCCTCAGGTAGAGGAGGAGAGAAGGGTCAAGCATAGGCACGATGGCCTCGGCAGAGGATCCAGGGCATCTTCCGCTCAGCAGCAAAGCGGGAGAGGCCGTGGGTTACCCCCTGCTCCTCCGCAACAGCAGCAACAGCAACAGCAACGACAACAGCAACAACAACGGCAGCAGCAGACTCCCCCTTCCCCTCCGCCGACAGTGGAAGCCGCGGAGTGGAATCCCCGAGCCACCGATCACATGAACCGAGTGATCAGGGTCGATGATTCCATTTTGCTGGATCCTCATGTCGCCAATGCAGTGAGTGAGACACTGCATTTCGAGGCTGACATGGCGGCTCACAGGGGGCGATCAACGAACGTGTTGTTCCGCTCTATCATCCAGAATTCCCTGGTGGTAAGTTCATTTTTGCTTTGGTTTCTTCTCTCTCGCTTTCCATTTTTGTGATACGCCTTTTTCCCTCCTTTGCAGGCTACCCAACAGATCTCCATAATAGCTGCGCGGTACCATGGGTCTAGGATGGACCTCCAGCGGGCCCGAGAGCAGAAGGAAGAGGCGGAGGGGGCCCTCGCCCGAGCAATGGAGGACGTAGCTGCCAGGGATTCTACCCTGGCGGGGCAGGCTGCTCAAATCGAACAACTCCTCAAGGATGCCGAGTCGGCTAAGGTTGGCGCTGAAAAGCTAAGTGCTGCCCTTGCCGATGCTGAGGGGAGGATCACCGAGCAGACGCGGCGGCTTTCTGCCGCGGAGGAGAGGGCGGTTGGCTCAGAGGAAAGCTGTCT